CACCTTCCCGCCTTTGTCAGTTTTGAGTAGCAGCCCACAAGTTGGTGGGCATCTTCCCTTTAATGCGTTTGGGCAACCATACCAATTTAGAACCATTTGGAGTTAAGCTAATGGATCTATGGCCATTCTGAGGATTGGCTATATGTTGATGAATATTATTCCTTATGAAAGGGGAAGGAATATGTATATTAGGAGTGATCAACTTTTTCTGTGGAATATAGTTGGTCCTCTTGACTGGTTGCCAACCAAGTTTTTGATTTAGTTGGTTGTTTTGGAAGATGGAATTGTAGGGAAGTTTGGTTTTGGATCTGGAAGAGGACTGGTTCCTTTTATTTGACAGAGATTGGGAGTGGGAATTTTGTTGGTTTGGTTTGCTTGTTTCTTGTAGATCTGTGGTGGGTTTTGTGATAGGAGAGTATTTGGGAGAGTCTTCCAATGATTGGGATAAAGGTGTGTATCCTGATCCTGTGTTCTTCGAGTTTTGAACTTCCTCAATAATAGGGGTAGTGAGGGAGCTCAGCCTTTCTTTTAAACTGATGTTTTCAACTTCAAGAAGATTTTTCATTTTAATCACTTCACCCATTTGAGTTTGTGCGATAATCAAATTTTCTTGAAGCCTACAATTCTCGTTCATTAAAAGAAGGTGATCCTTTTGAGAATTTTCAAGTTGATGGAGTAGAGCTTTCATATCAACACTGGAACTGCTAGAATCATATGAGTTACTTGAGGAACAGGATAATACCTCATCATTGTCATTTTCATTCAATCTGGCCATGGGATGGTTGTGGAAGGAGCTATCAGCTTGGTGCATTCCAAAGAGGCAAATCAGGACCTCTTTCTTACTTTCAGATGAGCTGCCTTCATCACTTGTACTGCTTTGATCATCTTCTGATTGAGTCATTGTGAGCTCATCCCAGATATCCTTGATTATCCAGTCATCAGACTTGTTCTTATTGAACAATAGATTCTTTGTATGCTGCCTGTCCATTCTTAGAAAGTGTTTGGGAAGAATAGTGGTTTGGGATCTTTAGTTCAAATTAGTCAGAAACTGACTCTAGGAACACTCTGCTCTGATACCACTTGATGGTCCCGGATAGAGGTAAAAGTCTAGAGGGGGGGGGGGTGAATAGACTTTTAAATCTTTTCCGACTTTTGAAAGTTTTCCCTTTAAAAGAGTTGATCTATAATCTTTTGGGAGATTTTTAGATGCACAGCGGAAGTCTTTAACCTCTTAGATAAATGGTGTATAACAACTTTCTATGATGGATGAAGTTTGGGCTTTATTGGGTGAGCAGTTGGCTAGAAAGCAGAGAACTACTGAGGCAACTGCTAACGAAATACTCAGTGAATGATGAAGGTGCACTCAGAATCTTTTCTCAGAGTGGGAAGATCTGTCTGATGATATGACAAGGTGGGTTGATAATCAATCTTAATGAGAGGAGTGGTCTCAGCAGTTGGGTGGTAACCAGGGAACTGCTGAGGCGCCTACTGAAGTAAAAGTGAAGGTATGGAAGGATTGATTATATGGTGTTGCTCAGGATAATGTGGGCTTTCTGAAGATGTGCATTAGTCCGAGTAAGTAGGAGTTTTACTGGAGCAGTGGTCTCAGCAGTTGGGTGAAAGTGAGGGAACTGCTGAGGCAACTGCTGGGTTACCACTTTGAACTACAGTGATTAGTTTGAACAGACTTCTTGGAGATGGAGTTGTGAAGGTCTGGTGAAGTGGAGATGTTCAAAGGAAACACTTTTGCGTGAGCAGTGGGCTTAGCAGTTGGGTAGTCCCCAGGGAACTGCTGAGGCAAATGCTATGCTTTAAGTAGGATTTCTTGAAATCTAATGGAACAGACCTTATAGTTGTGATAGTTTGCATCTCTTGTATCTCAAAGAAAGTTAGTTATTAAGCAGTAGGATAAGCAGTATGGTCAGTTAAGACTACTGCTTAGGATTCTGCTGGAAAACTACAATCTTTTATGAGAAGCGTTCAATGTGTGGTTTGTTGACTGAAAATGAATCAACACACATTATATCCTGGTTCAGAGGTGGTGTAATCCTCCTACATCCAGTCTCACCCTCTTTCAGATGGATTTCACTAATGTATTAAGCCCAATACACATAGTGCCAATCTACTCCTGACATATCTAACCACACTCAGGCCGGGAACAACTGTCCTCCTGAAGTGTTTACAACAATTTCTGATTTTGTTACAAGAAAGTTCTAACCTCCAACTAGGAACTAAACTTCTAGGATTCTGGCAATGAATACTTGATACTGAGAAGTTTAGTGAAGCAAGAGTCTAATCAGAGAGTCGTTGATAGAATAACACTTCTTGCTCAGTGAAATATCTCTCTACTTAGGATGCTCAAGCTTGGTTAGAAACTTTCGTTCCAGCCTCTATTTATAGGCTTTTTGGCTGATCAATCTTATCCGTTGGTTAGGATAATTTGATCTCTTCCGTTGAATTTCTGGCAAGGACAAATTGTACTTCCGTCTTTTTGTGCTGGAGCCTTTTAATGCGGCTGAAGAGTTTGTCTTGAATTATTTAGCCGCGGAGAGCATCTTTTCCAAATAAACCCATATGGGTGTCTTCAATGCTCAGGGCCCCAGTACAAATTTGGCATTAAATGCCGGTCAAGCTTGTCTTCAATCATATATATGATTTTCCGGGAGAATGAGATAATACTTATATAAATGAAATTATTCCGGTAGGATTTAACTATCCTATTCAAGGTAGAGTTTACCTTATTGCATTTTGACTTTGCCGGTATAATCTATTTGATACAAGTATTTCACCTTATTGGCCCAGCTAGTATGAATAAACTAAATCAAATATTTAACTGGTAGGATAACAAATCCTATCAAGGTAAAAACTATTACCTTATTGCATTTTGTGTTCCAGTTAAGTAAATAGATTAGTTTATTCAAAATGTCTTTGTGTCATTGATGTAACAAATAAATTTAACTGGTGGGATCTATAAGAGATCCTTTTTAAGGCAATGGACTGTTACTTTATTGCATTTTATGTTTTCCAGTTATATTTATTTGTTAATTGATATTTGAACTCGACACTTTTAGATAAGATTTTACTAGCACGTTGGTTGAAGCAAAATACATCACATTGATTTCGACATCATATTGATTTCCTAATGCTACAAAAGAAGGGGGGAACTTTGAAAAGCTTTGGCATCATCAGAAACTGTTTATCAAACTCTAGGGGTCTAACAGAAACAATCTCCAAAAGGAAGGACATTCAAAATATAACAAGGCAAGTATCACTCTTGGTAACTCGGTCATCCAAGGAAAGAAAAGGCTTAACGGATCTACTCCAAGTAGCATATATATGCCGAGATCAAGAAGAAGAAAGTGCTTGATAGAGATAAAATTCGAGAGACACATTCACTGAAGAAATACTAAAGTTCAAGGCACCTGAAAATGCTCACATAGAGTTCTTGATATAGTTCCCACTTTCCCTTTGTTTCTTTGTAATGGGGTTTTGGAGGATTGGCCAAGTGTAGCATCCTCAGGGTGGTAAGTGTGTGGTGATAGCTTTGTTGTAAAGTTGAGAAGCTCTCTACTTGCAAAGTTGAGAGGATAGAGTTGGGGTGACTCAAAGGTAGACTAAAAGAGTTTCTCTTATAATCATTCAAAGGCTTTTTAGTAAAGTTGTTAAAATTCCTCCGAGGGAGGTCAAAGTTTTTTTAATCTCTTTTGATAGGGGTGGGCGCCGTCCGGTCCGGTCCGGTCCAAACCGTGACTATTCAAACGGTTCAGTTGGGTCTTAGTCCTAAACCCGTTCGGTACGGTTCCATTTTCAAATGGGACGGTACCATGCCATACCAATACCAAACAATGCCATTTTTTCCAAATGTTTAAGGGGAAATTAAAGTTTAGCCATCCTCCAAAAATTCACACAATTTATCAATTTTCATACTCCATCCGTCCCACATTGATATGCAAAAGTCTATATTTTTTGGTCAACCAATGTTAAAGTTAAATTCTCTTTATCGATAATTAATTCAATTTTTAACAATTAAAATTTACATATTCAGAAACTACATTAAAATCTCTTCAAAGTTGCAAACTCCAAATTAATTATAGTAAAAAACTGACATTCTAATTAAGTGAATAAAATGAAACCGTTTGACCAAAAAAGTAAATTTTGCAAATCAATTTTGGACGGAGGTAGTATCACATAATTATTAAATTTCAAACAAAACTATAGTAGTACAAATTTAAATAATTAAATCATACATCGGTCCGGCTCCAGGCTTCCTATGAATTAGGAAAAGCGGTGAAAGTGTGAAAGCACTAGTCAAAGTAATGTTATAAATGTAAATTTAAATAATTAAATCATAGTTCGATCCGGTACCGGTGGTCATGACATTGTTTAGAACCGGTACGGTCCGATTCGGGACAAAAAATTTGAGATCCGTTTCAAACTCCTTTTTTTCGATCCGATACCATACCGATTCGATTCGATACCATGCCAGTTTGGTATTTATGCCCACCCCTACCTTTTTAGCCAATGAATTTTCCTCGTTAAATCCTTATGCACTTATTTACTTTGTTTCACACCATACCTCACACTAGAACTTGACGAAAAACTATAACGGTTCCACACACAATTCACCCTTCTCTTGTGTTACTAACCGTTTCATCAAGATCTCTTTACTTTTTTTTTGACTCTCATTCTCTCTTTATTTGACGTGAAAGTAACAAATTTTATGAAAAGAAAGAACATAGTTTCCACAAAAATATTTATTAAAACCATCTGTTGAAATTTATCATCATTAATAAAGAAAATCAAATATAGCTTAGCTATAGAGTATGGGAGCAACTAAAAGTCAAAAATCCAAAAGTGATTATGAAGTGTGATTATTATTGATCTAAAAATAGTATAAAACTCTTTTACCCAAAATTATGACAAAACATGTGAGACTAATCCCGCTGTATACCCTTTTGATGTGTCCCTTCTGAGACTCGTTGGGCCCTCGGGACAGTGGTGCAATCCTGGATGATAGCATAAAATTCCCCTAGACTAGATAAAGACCCATGCCATGGCAGCTCCGCGTGGTAACTAACGCCATTTTTGGTTGGTTCCCCAGCTATAGTCAGCCACCTTCACCATCTCACCCTCCCGCTTTTGGATTTACGAACATCACATATTCACTTGCACCACACATAACTGTGTTCTAATTTCAAATGTCCGAAGCATTTCAAGATTGCTACAAAAGATGCCACCCATCATTCTTTCTCATGTGCCCTTCAATACCCCCACCCCCACCCCCCACCACAAACACACACCAGACACAGGTACACAAGCATTGCATATGGCGTTCTAGCCATCCATTCCCTTGTTCTGAATGTACCCTTTTACGGTCTTGAGAAAAAGATATTATCATATATTCATATCAGCCATAAAGTTCACGCCTTTTTCTGATAAGCATATTTCTTTTCTCTCTTGTACACATGTAGACATGCATATCTAGGGAATCGTTTGCTTTTGGGTGTCCATGACATGTGGGTTTTGCTTTATCAGATTGGTTTCTCAAAGAAAGAGAGCGATACAGAGCAAATATGGCCTGTTTATTATGTAAAGATAATATGATCTAATGCGTTGAGGTTTTTTGTGGTTCTGTTGTTATTCAACGGTTTTGCTCCCCCTTTCATCGGAGTCTGTAAAGACCCAACTCACCTTTCGAGAATATTAGAGAGAGAGAGAGAAAGCGCTGGAGTTTTAGAGAGAGAAGAATTTTACCTTGGTTATTGTGAGATGTTGGAATTGGTTGGGGAAGAAGGATCTGAAATGGAAAAGGAATTTGATTCAAAGGTCAAGCTCCAGAACAGTCCATCCAATTCCCAGAGATCCAAAAGCTTTACATTCAGGGCTCCTCAGGAAAACTTTACCATCCAAGACTTTGAGTTGGGAAAGATCTATGGAGTTGGTTCTTATTCCAAGGTCAGGTTCTTTTTTCTCTATTTTTTTCTTATAAGCCATTCTTTTGAATTCTATGCATCCTGATCTTTTCTCTTTTCCCTGTCTTCTCCCTCTCCTAGTAGATTGAGTTTGTTGTTTGAAATTTTTGTTGCTATGCATTTGTCAAAGGAATCATGTAAATGTCTCATTAGCTTCCGATTTAGGGTTTTGGAAGCATGAATCATTTGAAAATCCTGGTTTTCGAAAAGAATTTAATATTGTAAATGTTTTTACCTGGTTGTAAATTTTTGAAAATAACTGGAGAAGATCAAATTGATTATTCTCTTTTTCCCTGAAGAAGATATTAAACAGCTCAATATGGTTCTGAAATATTGTGTACAATGCGCATTTCTCATCTCCACTTTTCCTCTTACTTTCTCCACCTTGGTAGACATGACTCATGAAAACAAGATGGTTGTGTTGGTTTTCTTATTACCTGCAATTATCCTCATGTTTTCACATTTTACTAATCAAGAACTCGTTATCAGGGAATTGTAGACTATATTTTGTGCTACCTTTGTTTCCTGGAAAATGTTTTCTAGAATCTCCTTTGACAATCGAAACCAGATAACATTTGCCTAAAAGAGATTTTTTCCATGCCTCTTCGAACATTAGTGGAAATTGACTTCCTTTCTTGAACAGAGGGAATCACTTTCCTTTGCCATTTTAATTTTTTGGCTAATGTGCATTAAACTATATACTGTACATAGAAAAACTTATGCTTTTAGGAAAAACACTTCCCTAGGGGAACCTTTTCTACACTTTTTTCCTTCAATCAAATGGAGACTTCATTTATGAATATATAAGACTATTATGGTTTGTTCTTTGAGTTAGTATTTGGAGCATTCTTTTATAGTGCTGATTCATTCTTGTCGTTAACCTTTCATTATGAGCAGGTTGTTAGAGCTAAGAAGAAAGATACTGGAAATGTTTATGCCATGAAAATCATGGATAAAAAGTTCATTACTAAGGAAAATAAAACTGCATATGTGAAATTAGAGCGCATTGTACTCGATCAGCTAGACCACCCTGGGATCGTGCGATTATGTTTTACATTTCAGGACACCTTTTCACTATGTGAGTGTTTTTGCAAATCTTCCCCGAGAGTGGTGCATTTACTTCTATATATAAATGGTCTTTTTTTCTGCCATCTAAGTGCATTGTGTTTTATTGTGAAGACATGGCTCTTGAGTCTTGTGAAGGTGGAGAGCTTTTTGATCAAATAACTAGGGTAAGTATAATCTTTTTCCGTCACTACATTCAATAAAATGCAAAGCATCTATCTGCTCAGTTCAACTGCCTCATGTTATTTTGAATTTTATTAGTAACTCAATTTGTTAGTCCATTTTAATCGTCCATATTTCATTAAAACTATTCTGTTATACTCACTTTCTATGAGGTGCATGTTGATTTTACTATAATAGTCTTGTAACGGGACATGACTATGATGATGGTTTTACTATTCTGTTATCTCATGGTTGTCTCATGATATTTGCATGCAAGTGAAGAAAACCCTATGATGATGGTTTTGGAATTCCATCTTCTTATTCCTTGGACTCTGCTTTTGCATGAATTTACACTGTTTTTAGACAACTAGATCCGGTTTGGTATGCGCAAATGGGTAATTCATCTCAAGTGTGTTTTCATCCAAAAAACCATCTTATTGCTACCTTTTCAGCTGTTATTTAGTTTTACAACAAAAGAGACAATTATTTACCCCTTTTTCTTGTTATGCCCTGTACAGAAAATTACTACATACTACATCCATTATCATTTCATTATTCCTATAGGGTATTGTTTGGGAGTTTGGAGAGAATCGGAGTGGAAAGCTTTGAAGGATAGTCCTAGGAGGGGAAGGGGAGAAAATCCTTCTTCTGGTTTGGGAGCTAACAAATTTGAACAGAGAGGGGGCTAAGGAGAAATTATTATTAAAATAGCTTCAAAGATATAGCGAATTTAAATAGTTGAACTTATATAATAAATTGCCCGAAATATGAGTGAAAACGTTTGTAAATTCCAAAATAGGGCTGTCAACTTTTGGCATTACCAAACTTTAAACATGACACTATTTTCCAAGCTTGGTAGTGATTACTCATATTTAGGGTTTGTTTGGGAGTTGGTTTTTGGGAGGACGGGGAAGAGATGTGAGGGTTGATGACCCTCTTATTTGTGTTTGGGAGTTTAAAAAATGTGAAAGAATGATTTCGGAAGGTTTTTGTGACCCTCCAAAATCCCTCAAATGCTCAATTTTTAAGTTCCTCCAAAATCCCTCAAATGCTCAATTTTTAAGTTTCTCCAAAATGGGGGATTTTGAAGGATAACTAACTAAATGATAATTTAAGCTAAATTTAAAATGAATATCAATTCAACTATTTGAATTCATCATATCTCAGAAGTGATTATTAATTATAATTTGTTCTAAAACCTTTTCTTCTTCAAATTTACTACTCCCAAATAAGTCTTTTGGGACTAAGCCTTGGATGTTGTTGTTGTTGTTGTTACTACTACTCCCAAATAAGAAGGGTTTCCTTCCCCTCCCTTTCCCCTCCAACAACTTACCTTCAAAGCTTTTCCCACACTTTCCCCGAAACTTCCAAACATACCCTTAGGGAATAAAAATATGACCTATTTTGGAATTCCAAAATGTTTTACACATATTTTGAGAATTTTCTAAACATACCCTTAGGGAATAAAAATATGACCTATTTCATTTGTTAATGAATGTTGGTTAAAGCATTGTTCAAGAACCAACATGATTAAGCCTTACCGCCAACCTAGTTGATGTTAAAAGATTTAACTGTGTCAATATCCTCACTTTTCCTAGCAAAAGTTTCATTTTGTGTTTGTGCATCATTTTCTCTATCCATGTAAAAACAAGTTTACACTTGCAGATTTTTTTCTTCTTCCCATGTATTTCCTGTTTCTAAAGTTTGAGAATGCAGAAAGGACGTCTTCAGGAGGATGAGGCTCGTTTTTATGCCGCAGAAGTTGTCGATGCTCTTGAGTACATACATAGCATGGGATTAATACATAGAGATATTAAGGTATAGCTCTATACTCTATTTTGTTGACTGTTATTTCTCATTTTTGAATTAATATATAGCAATGTTATGAAAAAAGCTACCAAGGTACTTAAGGAAAAATACTTAGGTCCCTAAGGAAAGTATAGCAACCAGGTGGGGATATTTATACCTGTCTTAACTTAAAAGGGTTTACTGTATGGAATCCATAAAATACCAAGGAAAACGATTAGAAGGACAATATAGGGGGGAATTAGAAGGAAAGATGTGGGGTGGGGGTGGGTGGGGATAACAGATATGCTAAAACTGAATGAATTTATTTTAGAATTTTGTAGGTGCCTATGTTTTACTATGTTATTTATTTATACCTTATGAAGACTAAGAAATCATAATAGATTTAAAAAATAAAAATAAAACCAATCATATTTCATTTTCCTTTGCATTTTCCATTGTAGAAAACATGAGAAAATAACTTTCCTTAGTTTATTTTCCTTTCCGTAGCGTTTTCCGTGATCCCAACATACCCTAAGGGTCCGTTTGGAACTCAGAAAGTGTTACAGAAAGCAAAAAGAGAGAAAATATAAGGGAAATTTGGAAAGAAAAAAATGTGAGGGAAAATAAAACATTTTTAAAAAATCAATACATTTCTTTTGTATTTTTTCTTCAAAACTCATTTTATTTGTGCATTTCTCAGTTAGACTAACTTAGAAACCATACCCATGCGAAGTTTTCAAAACCATTAATTTCATTTCCCTTTGCAATTTTGGTGCTCATTCCAAACTCAAGAAAATTACTTTTCTTAGCATTTTAAGGATCCAAACATACACCGAGTGTTTTTATGTGACAGCCGGAGAATCTGCTGCTTACTACAGATGGGCACATCAAAATTGCTGACTTTGGCAGTGTTAAGCCAATGCAAGACAGTCGAATAACAGTCCTACCAAATGCAGCCTCTGGTAATTCACTATTAATGTTATCTGAACAGTGACAATTTAGTATTATCATTTTAATTTTCTTTCTTTCGCAGATGATAAGGCTTGCACCTTTGTTGGAACAGCTGCATATGTCCCTCCAGAAGTTTTAAATTCTTCACCTGCAACTTTTGGGTATGTAACTCTTTCCAATAGTCCATACTCCATACAAGTCATGAATTCTTCATCATATGTTTTTCTCTTTGTAACAATACATTTAACATGTTATATTAGAAATGACCTCTGGGCACTTGGCTGCACGCTGTATCAAATGCTCTCAGGGTCAACTCCCTTCAAAGAAGCCAGTGAATGGCTCATTTTTCAAAGAATTATTGCCAGAGATATCAGATTTCCCAATTACTTCTCTGATGAAGCCAGAGATCTCATTGATCGGCTGTTGGTAAGCAATAGTTTCCACTTCACTACCACCTCATTTGATTATATGAAGTAGGCTTTCATGTTTGGTAAGAGAGGATGAAGGAGGATTTCATGTCCTGTTTTGTAAGAGAAAAAGGAAGAGAAAGAGGTGTATGTTATTTTGAAAAAGACAAAGATAACCTCAAATCTAAAATTATATGAGGAGATAAATGGTATAAACTAGAAAGGGCTCCCTTCTCATAAGTTGCCACCCCTCTTTTCCTTGATTCCCCAATTCATTTCTAATCAAACAAGAGAAATATTCCATTCCTCTTTTCTTCCTCTCTATCCTATATCTGGTGAAGCAAAGTGTACATGCCCCTCGATATCTTTTACTCCATATTTCATTCTAAGACTTCTTTCTCAAAAAACGGGTGAATGCTGGATTATAAATAAATAAAAATGCATTGATAATTTTGTGAATAAGACAAATCTTTAATGCCTGTCATGTAGGTATAAGAGGTGCATTAGTGTAGTGTATACATAAGAGTGCATATTCATATACGTATAACTATACGTGCGTCCTTGTATAACATTAGACTCCATGCATATATGTGTGTAGGTTCATCGAGTAAATATCCATATGTTATATCTACAAGTGTACTATGTCGAATGAAATGTGCAATAAGTGCACTTATCCACACACGGAGATGCGCTCTTGCACATAAATTTACAGTGTTTTTCTGTACATGATCCACATTAGAATTTCTACATATTTGCCATCGTAAAGAGTTTTACCTTCTACATATTTGCCATCGTCACAAGTATTCGAGGTGGGACACCTAACATGTCTGTTTGTGGATAATTATGGTTTACTCTCATCAAAGGTTTCAGAACTCTTATTGCACTATTTTATCTCATCAGTGGAGATTATCTATACATGTGTTGGTACATATATCATATTGAGTGGAAATATTACACATAACTGATATTTGGAACTGTTTATTTTGATTGCAAAACGGCATGATCGTGATTTGCCTAGCTAACTTCCTACTTGCACGTAAAACAACTCAGGATATTGACCCTAGCAGAAGACCTGGCGCAGGGACGGATGGTTATGCTTCCCTTAAAAACCATGCTTTCTTTAGAGGGGTTGACTGGGAAAATTTGAGGTCCCAAACCCCTCCACGGCTAGCTATTGAACCAAAAGTATGAAATCCTATTCCCGAACACTTTGCTTCCCTCAAGATTCTTTCTAAATTTATAATCTGAATAACATTGGCTGGATTTTTTATTTTCAGTCACATTCTTCTCATAGTGGAGGCGATGATCAAGAACCGTGGAATCCAGCACATGTAGGGGATGGTTCTGCTAGAAGTGATGGAAATGGTGGAGCCTCTTCATCTTCTGATGCTGCTGGTAGCATCACTAGACTAGCTTCTATTGATTCTTTTGATTCAAAATGGTACACGTTTATCTTCTTTCCTAATATTCTTAGCTGCTATCTAGTAATGCCTTAGTTTTTTATTTCTGTTTTTCTTTCACTTCAAGAAAAACATAAACAAAAGCAATAGTATTTCTGTTGAAAAATGCTGGGTGCACACCTTTTTGTGTACACTTTTAGCACACTTTTCTGTCTACATACCGACAACTTTTGTATTTCAATATGAATTGTCTGTATACATGCAACTTGTCTGTGTTGACAGATAAGGTGTGCCAAAGGTGTACACCAAGCATTTCTCATTTTTGTTTTCAGATTCTGCAAACAAAACCAGACATACAAATTAGGCATGGCAATGAGTCGGGACGGGTAGTGCATAACCCGCTCCCGTCCCGTGACATAACTAAGTGTACCCGCCCCGCGACCCGCACGGGTCATTAGATGTTGGCCCATGACGCGCCCCATGCGAGGCGAGTCATCCCCGCCCCTCCCATGCGAGGCGGGTCCTCCCCGCCCCACCCCACAATTCCTAATAGCTAGTACACATTTTTAATTTTGTAAAGTTATTATAGCTTGAGTTTACATGAAGTTTGTTTCCAAATAATTATAAAAAGAGAAAAGGGGCAAATAAGCCCTCGAACTATTTGCAATTCTGCAATCAGGCCTCTGAACTGAAAGACTTGCAGATACACCCCTTAACTCATTTGAAAATTATGAATTGGGTCCTTTTTTACCTGTTGGTGCAAGTAAGAAGATGAGAAATTACCGGCATCCGTAGGTAAAAAAGATCTGATTGCTTAATTTTCAACGAGTTGAGGGGTATATCTGCAAGTCTTCCGGTTCATGAGCCTGATTGCAAAATCATAAATAATTCGAGGGTTTATTTGCCTCTTTTCTCTTATAAAAAATATATTATATCATAGTCATAATACAATAAAAAGTTTCAAAAATTAAGAAAAGATAATATAGACTTAAATAGTTAACTATTTATTTATGAATAGATCAATATATAAATGCTAAATATTATTTTAGCACTAACAATTAACTTTTCATCTAGTTCAAAATGTAATATTAACATATTAAAAGTTCAAAGAATTCATGAATTATTACTCTCTCTCACTCACACACACACATATAGGTTTTGGTTCAAATAAGAACATGATCTTAGGAGAGAAATGCGAATGAATCCGGACCGTTAGATTTGTTTTAAGTGATATTCAATGTGCATTAGATGAAACTGTAATGTGCATTAGGTGAAATTGAAATGTGCAGCACTAAGAGTACGATACAGTGACATTATGTGAAGCTGGATTGTGCATTAGGTGAAATTGAAATGTATACTAGGCGAAACTAAATTGTGCAGTATAAAAGGTACAATGTGATGTTATTTTTGTACCTTTTATTCCGCACATTTCAGTTTTACATAATACACACTTGAGTTTAAATTTTTATTCTGCACATTTCAATATCATCTAATTCATATTTCAATTTCACCAAATGTACAATTGAGTTCCACATAATATAATTCAACGGTCCAGATTCATTCTCATTTCTCTCCTGGGAGTCTGTTCTTACCAGAACCGCTCCCTATATATATGTGTGTGTATTTATATACCTCCTCCGTATCATATTAGTTGCAACATTGAAATTTACACACTATTCATGTACACTACTTTGACTATATTTTATTTATTGATGTATGTGAATTATTTTTTTGAAGAATATTGTTGAATTCGTCTCATTACAAAGTTTCATGATTTGATTTTTAATTTTTCTTTTTTACTAATAAGGAATTAAATATAATGATGGTCAAAGTTGTGCATAGGTAAGCGTGAAAAGGGGAATGTTGCAACTAAAAAAGAACGGAGGATAGTACATATATATGTGTGTGTATTTGTAGTATAATTTTAAAAAAGATGTATATTTATATATTGAGCAGGTCGTGTCGGGTCGGGGTGGTACAAGTCAAAAGTAATACCCGAACCCGCCCCATTGTATGAACGGGGCGGACCGGCCCCATTTGCAAGATGGGGCGGGACGGAACCGCCCCAAATGTCTCGGGGTAGGGCAGGGCTCGACGGGCCAGTTTGTTTTTGACATGCCTAATGAAAATCATTGGAAACTAAGGGCTATTCATTATTCTTTTATGTTATTTTAGTCCTAGTTTCGTATGATTTTCCATTTCTTGGAAAACTTCAACCAAAGATCTAAAAACCATAAAAAGTTGTTTTCATTTTTTGGCAGTTTTTAAAATTTAACATGAATAACTAATACAACAACATCGAAGCTTTAATCCCAAAAGAATCTGGGGTCGGCTAACATGAATCGATCTATGATATCGATGCCAAACAGAGAAGACAAACAAGAAGAGGAAAAAAGTAAGATAAAACGGATAAAATAAGGATAAATGAATATAAGATAACAATAACATACGAATATAAGAAAGATAAAAAGATAAAAGAGCATTAAAAAGCTAGAAGATAAAAATAACATAAGAATATAAAAAAATAATGAAGATAAACGATAGAAGAAAAGAGGGAGGAAAGGTAGAAAATACATCAATCGTCGACACGGATGTGTGCCCTCCACTTTGCTCTCTCCAAAGCCATAATCTCATCCAATCCAAGAAGACGCTTCTGGGCGATTACTTAGCATCTTTAGCATTCTTATCACTACACCCAGGCCTATGAAGTGTAGCGCGCCCTTGCTCATTTGACACCACCCCAGGCAGAGGGATGACACTCGCTTACGGGCGACGACCTAGCTGTAGCGATATTCATATTTCGATTCATGTCATGTGATGTGACTAAGTGATACTGTTGGCCGTCACATGTTTACCACATCCCCTCCTCCTTTATCCTGACTTGGGACATACATGATATTCAAAAAAATAATAATCTCATGATACCAAAAAATGAATAACTAATAGTATGATTATTTTGTAGTTCATTAAACAGCTGACAACATATGTCATAATACTCTTTAAAACCAGGGAAAAAGAACTTTAAAATGGTTGCTACAACGAACATGCCTTAAAAAGTAAAAAGCAAGATCACGAAAACCAGAAAAAATTGACATCTTGTTGATGGCTCTTTTTAAAATTAAGATGGTTAGTATGACTATTTTATAAGATGACTATTATGCATGACTACTACTTAGTTAATTATACAAGCAATTTAAGGAAAAAATGAAAACCCGCACGGGTAGCTTAGTTGGTTGAGTATTGGGAAAATTGGAAGAATGATCAAGGATCGAAACCCGCAACGGGCTGTGTAGAAGTTACAGCTCTTGCGTGCTGGGCTGGACCTCTGGTGCGCATGAGTACACGGTCTACCATCATTGGACCAACTGAGTCAGCGTGACTTACAACCACCCAAAAGACTTGTCGGGTCCTTGAGGTTGGGAATTCAACATATGGGAAGAAGTAGGAAAAAAAGAAACCTGACAGCGTTACTAAGTTGCCCCCTACAATTTCATGTCTTCCTTGTTTTGAAGACATGCTTTTTGATTTTGATAATATTTTAATCCATTAGAAAGCTATAAAACTCTTTTCATAATAGTTAATACCAATCACATATAAAAAGTAGGCCTACCATACATGTTTTATACTTCCTCCATCCCAAATAGTAAGACACTTTACGGTTTACGATGTGTGATCGATGATAAAACAAATTGATCCCTGTCAACACTCAAATTAGTTTTAGAAAATAAAATTTACATATTTAGAAACTACATTAAAACCGCTACAAAACTTGCAAAAATAATTCAAATTTCATAAATTTTTGATATATAAAGTATAAGATTAAGAATGATTTATGTTGACCCAGTGAATAACAAATGTATCTTACAATATGGGACTTAGGGAGTACTTTTTTTATTAGGTAGTACGTGGACAGTATTAAGGAACCATTACAATGCTTTTAGGATTCTAATGCCAATCAGATATACAAAATAGGCCTATCATAAATGTTTTGTACTTTTTTATTAGTTAGTACATATTCCTGTAAGAATGCCTTTATATACACTTTCTTAAATTGGCAACTGTTTTACTATTTAGTGGCGTATCCAAGATTTTTTTTTTCCAGTGGGCAAACTCACATTGGCTATCTCACGCATATCATAAGCAATGATCACATGAAGAAAAAAATAGTGTTCTTTAAAAAATAGTGTAAAATCAATCAAAATAACAAAATATTCGTGAGCCAAATATATTACAATATCATACTTAAAAATTTCATGGCCGATAAAAATTTTACTTTGCTAAAAATGAATTTTAATCACAGAGTTTGTAATTCATTCAAAGTTTTGTTAACAATAAGAACCAAATAAGGACTGAATAAAAAATGTACTTAGAATTAACTTAAGTTAAGAATGTACAAGTATATTTATAAATCAATTTATATTAAGTGTAAAAATGTAACTGTTAAACTTCACAAAGTATATACAAAAAATAAAATGTAATTATATTATAGTTCAAACAAGCCAACATTTGAATATAATTATGTAAAGTCACTTTAAATTAGTTTAGAGCTTGAAAAGGGGAGAAATAAAATAAAATAACAAAAAACACCCTTGAGAACCACTTTAAACCTTGTTTCACACACCGAAGCCAATTTCAATACACTACAATAGTACAATGTATAAGGGACTCATATTTATTACATATTTTCATATATAATTATATATAGGGGTTGGGTGGGTGCAGCTGCCCCCTTGCCCTCATAGTAGATCCGCCCCTGTTACTATTGTTACTTTTTCTACTTCTCATCTACTCAAACTATCCACACTCCCTTCATTTTTTTTCTTAAAACCAGTAAAAATCCTTGAAAATCTTAAATGGAAAGTAATATAGAAATTTGAAAACCAAACAATCGAAAGCAAAAAGACAAGGTCTGCAAACAGATATTCCTACTTAACCATGAATTTATTACATGGCAACAGGCAACAATTTCTGGATCCTGGCGAGTCAGTACTTATGATCTCCATGGTAAAAAAGATACAGAAGCTTACTAACAAGAAAGTACAGTTAATCCTCACAAACAAGCCGAAGCTTATTTACGTGGACCCATCAAAGTTGGTTGTCAAAGGTAACATTATTTGGTCCGACAACCCGAATGATCTCAGCATTCAAGTAACCAGCCCTTCAAACTTCAAGATTTGCACAGTGAGTCCATTAGTTTCATATCAATTTATATTGCAATTCAAACATATAATTTTGAACTTTCACTAATGTACTCAATGCCACACACAGCCAAAGAAAGTCTTATCTTTTGAAGATGCAAAGCAAAGAGCATTCCAATGGAAAAAGGCCATCGAGGCTCTTCAAAACCGGTGAATGCCGTTTGGAAACCTTTGGATGTGAAGAAAAAGAAACATACGACTCTCTAAGTTCAACTTCTGGCCCTGTCCGGATAAATCTGCTATTCTTTTTCCCTGGTTCAAAAGCTTTCTGAGTTAATGGAGCAAGGTGAAAAGTATTTGAATGGCTTTTTGTGTAATTGCCTGGAATATCCTCTTGGGTTGCTGGGGAGTTATTGCTTCCTTCGTTCCCTTGGATAGTAGTAAAAGGCCATCAATGAAGGGGAAATGCCAGAAAGCAGTTTTAGATATGTTTCTTGTGGTTTAACCATTCTTGTATTGATATGATGGAAATATTACATGGGAATGAATTTTATTTAATTTGTTCAATTGTTCCATGGATGATCTCTTCTAGTTCCAAAGTTGGGTGCAAAGAATAGGGTTGGTAATTATGTTTCTTATAATTATTTAATTTAAATGCTTTTATGGTAGTGTAGCATTATATTCTACTTTTCCCATTGCCATGATCTTTTGAACATGTTTTTTTTTGGAATAATGGTATATATCTAGTATAAAGGTAATAGTTTGTCAGTATGATGATACAACAATACAATGTTGTAAGTTGAAAAAGAAAAGAAGAAGTTAAAAGTCCAGTTTCATAGGCGTTTAGTGAATATATACAAGTTTTATTTTTGTGTGGGTGAATGTCTTAAATGTACATGTGCCGCAATTCATTACTGTCTCCTTCGAAGTTAAGGAGCGCGCTGTCAATACTCATTACCCATCTTATCTTTAAGTTTGTTTTGCACAATAATGAACGAATTAAAAACACATAATTAAAATATATACTTTCTATTATGATCCGAAACTGAATAGCGGATGGCGCCTTGCGTTTCCTCTAGGCTTTCACATTTTTTTTGACAGTTCTTCATGTCTGACAGTTTTAGTGTCCATTAACAAGTGAGGTGAGGGATGAGGCTGTAGTCGACGGCCTTATCGTACGTTCGAGGAAAGCACAGGAAGTTTTGGCTTCCGGTAGCTAGCAAGGTGAGTGACAAGACTGTAGCCGAAGGCCTTATTGCATGATGGGTTGGAGCTGCTAACGTTGGATAGGTGGAGCTTTTCTTGCAAGGGAAGAGTGATGGAGGAAATTAATGGGCATCGATAGAATGAGGTGTTGGCGAAATAATGGCCTGCGTATGACTCCTGGTCTTTTGTATTCCAAAAACATGACCCAAAACCGATTTTCCAAAAAAGTGACCCATCCCCTTTTGCCTGCATCGAGCTTCTTCTCCCCTTCGCACATCAAGCTTCTTCTCCCCATCACCGAATCGAGCATCTACTTATTCGCAGCTCTCCTTCGCAGCTTACACAATCCACCATCTTCTCCTTCCTGCTTCGTTCGCCTACGCCGCTCTTCTTCTCCCCTTCGCCCCCACTCTTCTTCTCCTCTTCAATCTGTCGCCTTCGGCACTGCACACTTCATCGACTTACCATCTTCACTTTTCTTTTCCTTCTTTCTTCTTCTCTTTCACTGATGGTGAGGCGATGGTTTGTTTTAATTATGGATCTAGGTTTTCGACAGTGAGAGAAATCAGATCAGGGAGGTTGACATGGGGGTTGTGAGGGTGCTGTTGGACTGCGGGGGGGGGGGGGGGGGGGGGAGGGCAGCGATTGCGGGGGAGGGGGTTGGTAGGTTGGGGAGGAGGGCTGGTAGGCTGGTGGGCTGTGGAGGGGGTTGGTGGGTTGGGGAGGGGGTTGGTGGGCTGGGGAAGGGGTTGGGGGGCTGGTGGGTTATGGCGGGGCTGGATAGCGGGCTGGTGGGTTGTGGTGGGGCTGGACAGGGGATTGGTGGGTTGAGGTGGAGCTGGGGAGGGGGCTGGTGGGCTAGGGAGTGGCCGATGTGGTCATGGTTAGGGCATCAGTTGTTAACGGTGGTGGTTGCCGGGTGTGCGTGCGAGGCTTAGTGTGAGCGTGGAGTCGGGTGGCGGTTGATCGGCCGTGGTGTTAGTGGATGCAATTTTTCTCATCAGAAACAGTCATACTGACATGTTTTCCGGCGGCAGTGACATCCGTATGTACGAAAGTGACATCAAAATCGGATAGTGACATTAAAATACGTAGTGACATGAAAAAATGTGGTCGGCGGGGCACTGGCGGTGGAGTACAGTTTCACCGGAAAAGGTTTAGAAAATTTTCCGGCGGTTATAGTGATATAAAAATCTAATAGTGACACACGAAAGTGACATAAAATCTGACAGTGACATAAAAAAGCAGTGATGTCATGTTTTTCCATATATGTGACCTTCTTGGTCACATTTTTGTACTTTTAAAAAAATGATCACTTTTTTGAAATTTGGCTTCAATTTAGTAATATTCAAGTAAAAAGCCTTGTGTTGGCTCATGCCTATGGTAGGATAGAGATGGAGGAAAAGGATGTAATGGTTCCTACAAGTGAAAATTCGCACTTGTTGCTCCAGAATCCATGGCTTCGACTCGCAACCACCTCTTTGTTTTAAGATACTTTCAGTCAAGAAAAGCTAATAGTTACTAAAAAGCTCATAAAAATATCTTTTCAGCTAATTGTGCCAAATGATTTATTGATGTTGTGGGGATGTTTGGTAATTGTATACTTTTAATAATTTAAGCTTTCTTGATAAAAAAAATTATATTTTCTATTTGACTAAATGCAGCTTCTATAATATGTAAGTCGTGTCACACATAGAAAAAGTAATCAAGTGGGAGGGAATAAAGATGGTTGCAATAACACATCTTATATTTTGTAAAAGCAATTGCAAATTCTCTTTTTCAGGAGAGGTTTTCCTAAAAGATTACTACTTAGTGAGCTAGTGTTCAAATTATGTATGAGGCTAACGCTTTTGCATATTTAAGAAGCGACCATTTCGAAAGAAAACGTGACCCTAATGTCTAATCCAATGGAATTTGCAATAAAAAATGTTATTTAGAAGAGTCACTCGAGGTTTGATGAATAAATAAATAAATAAATAAATAAATGAATGAATGAATAACTAATCTACATAAGAAGAAGCAGGGAGGAAGACTCCTAGGAGAGAAGAGCCATCCCAAAAAAGAGAGCCTGGAAGCGTTGCTTCCTATTTATAGAAGAGAGAGAGGGGGGGGGGGGGGGGTGCTTTCTAGCCTAATGGGCCTAACGGCCTTATCGGGCCGATATGGGCCGGGACAGGCCGAGTGGGACTAAATGGCTCTTAATGGGCCTAAATGGGCCTCGCCGACTGGGTCCCGTACTTGGGCCTCTGAACAGTAATAGGCCGGAATAATATTCCCCAACACAAGTCTCCCAGTTTCTTGTGTTGGGCCTCATTACAGCAAACTAAAAGAGATCACCAATGACAACAACTATCAGCAAACAACTAGCACTATCAACCCTATGCCGTACTAGCGACAATCACCTTTTAGAGATATATGTACTTGATCACATTCAGTTTTATATATTTGATATATACGGTATTACACATTGATGATTAAGTATTTCGATTGTCAATATCTTATTCATAATTGTGTTCCCTTGGACTTATGTTGTCAATAAGTAAGTGGGAGCTTATATGATATAACATAAAGTCCTAAAATAGCCCCAATCAATGATCATCAAGAATGAGATATTGATGATATGCGATAAGATTGGTATGTGGACTGCATCATACTTTTAGAAAGTATAGTTGATCTCACAACTATGAGTTCATGTAATTCATGATGGTCACATAGATATTTTAGAGAATATTGGCATACCCACCGAGAAACCATTTGATAAGTTCTATTCATGTGTCTATGGGATTATCGGCGTATAGAGTAGTGTAATAGTCCTCCGACTTGAGGTCAATACGTACTACATGTGCGGAGTGATGTACTTTGACCATGACCAACGCTTGCACTCCAATCGGGGTAGATATGGCATGTGTTGGGTGCATCACGAAGCACATGGAGTAGTAGTTGAGCTGACGTGCACTCGTCGTTAGTTGCACTCAAAATAAATACAATACAACGAATTTACGTAGTATAACGAAGTAAGGTTCGTATCCACAGGTAAAGGATTACTTTTCTTTTATATAAATAGTAACGAGGGGGGTTTAGATTTGTTTGGTTTTAAAAACACTAAGATAAACAACCTATATGAGTTTAATTCAATGAGATGAGGACTTGGTTTTGCTTTTATCCACTTAATGAAATGTTCGTCGATCCCGGTTATATCTTTAACTATCTTCCTCTCGAATACTCAATCGAGGAGTATATCCAGTTCATCGAGGGTAGTTATTAATAACGAGATGCGTTCATTAATAAAACTTACTATCGAGTCAATATAGAACAAGCGCCGTATATTAACTTGATAGTAGCAATAAACTTAAGATGAAAACGATTGAGATTGATAACCTCAACACAAGCGGTTTATTGGTTCAATCAATATAATTAATTCCCCTTGACATATTAACCATGAGATGTATGCATTAATATTCCAAGTTTACTACCGTTGAAAGAACCGGATTAATAACAAGCGTATTAACCGATTGATTCTAGTAATAATTAATATGAGAAACAAAACTAGTTGATACTTTAAGTAATGTTTAAGATATTAATATGAAATATGAATAGGAATTAATTAATACTCAAGGAAGAATATTAAAGGATATGAATCCTACTATGATTAATATCAAGATGTTAACTAATTGTCATCTTAGTAACACTCCCCAATATTAACATAGAGGAAGAAATAGCTATTACTATAACCAATGTCAAGATGTTAACTAATTGTCATCTTAGTAACACTCCCCAACTTTGATATAGAGATAGTATTTTAAAAGAAAGAATTAATATTCAAAGAAGAAGATTAAAGAAAATAACTCACAACTTTCAAATTCATTAAGCTTCAAAGTAGCAAAACCAAGATGGAAGAGTTTAGCTCCTCATTTGGAGACTAAACATGATGAAAAATATAAAGAAAGAACTATTCTATACTGAGCTTAGATGTACAAAGGAATTGGATATCTTTTTGTGAAGGAAAGGAGGTGTATTTATAGGCTTTTGGGATGGGATTCGGGTACTCGATCGGGTATATACATGGTACCCGATCGAGTACGTGTGTAACACTCGATCCGAGGTATACTCGACCGGTTTCAGGCTATTTTCCATAAGTATACCCGATCGAGTATATATTAATACCCGGTCGAGTATGCTTAAAATATGGTATTCGGACCATACTCGACCGATCTTCGTTTGAAACTCAAAGGCATACCCGATCGGGTATGTCGGTCTACCCGAACGGGTATAGACATAAAATCGTGGCCGAAATCTTCCCGGCATGTTCCCTTGTCTTCGGATCTGATCCGATTTGAAGTTCCAACCTAATACCCGATCGAGTATAGTTAATACTCGACCGAGTATAGACCAAAATTCAGGATCTTCTTTTGTCTTTGAACTTTTGCACCTTCTTTCCACTTTTTGGGTTCACCAACTGTACTTCGAGTGATCAATACCTGTTTGAGC